AGGCTGCTCCATGGGGCCCCATGGGGCCCCACGGAGTTTTGAGTCCTCCCCACGGGGGAACCTACAGGGGGTACAAAATTCTGCCCTTCCTTATAGGGAAACCTTATAGGGCGTAAGGTTACTCCATAGGGTTTATATACATAAAAATATGCATATGCATAATTACTAATCAAGTTTACTAATTACATTTATTAATCACATTTATTAATCACATTTATTAATCACATTTACTAATCACATTTACTAATCAGAGACTTAAAGTATTAATTAAATTTATTAGTTACAAAAGCTTAAGGGTTGGTAAAGACCCGTTCTTTAGCTTAAGTCTATTAGTTACAAAGAGTTGATAAAGACCCGTCCTTTTGCAGTTACGTAGAATACGTTCAACTCGGTCTCCGCTTTTAGCCTAAGCTCTTGCTTATAAGCATAGTTCAAATAAATCTCGTCTGACTTAAGTAGCTCTTTCAGCTTTTAATACTTGTTGCTTTACTTAAACTCATTTTCATCCGAGAACTTAAGAGTAAAGCGTTTGTATATTAAAGTGCTATCGATAGTGAAAGGGTATAGCATCAATAGCTCTTTTAAAATGCTTTTAGCTTCGATATAATCGCTATCGAAAAGCTTAAGAGTAAGATCACTTAAGATCAATCGAACCTTAACATCCTCATAAGTGAATTGCTTTTTAATTACGTTAAAGAAAGAGACAAAGTAGTCGAAGAGACAAAAGACTTAAGCGCTTTCTTTTTAAATAAAAAATCAATTAGTAATTATAGAATATAAATGTTATTACTAACTTTATTAGTATCGTAATGCTTGATGCCGAACTCGTCGATAAAACCTTTACGACCTTTCTATTCGTAATCGAAGCCGATTGGTTTTAAAAACAAAGCGGTATCTTCTTTATTATAGCAAGTAAATATTGAATTAATAACGCTATTATCAGTATAAACGACCACGAAATCCTTGTAGCGATTAAGTATCTCGTTAATTAGCTTGTTGCTATTAGTGCTAAAAGGGTTGACCTCGATTATAGCGTTATAAGAAAAAGAAATCGACATTGCTAAATAAAGAAAATAATTAGCTTAAAGCAAGGAATTAAAAAGCAAGGAATTAAAAAAAAAATAATTACTTAAGTTAAATGTGATTGTAATTGAGTGTTAAAATTAATTGAAAAGTTAAAGTTAAATATTAAAGTTAAGAAGTTAAAGTTAAGTGTTGAAGTTAAGGTTGAAAAGTTGAGTGTTAAGGTTAAGGTTAAGAAGTTAAGTGTTAAGGTTAAGGTTAAGAAGTTAAGTGTTAAAGTGATAATGAAAAAAAGAAAAGGAAAAAGAAAAAGAGCGAGTACTTATATAAAAATAAAAGTGTAGCTTAATCGTAATCAGAGCATTGCTTCGATTTATTAAAAGTGAATTATAATATTTAAAACAATAAATCGACGCGGAACAAAG